TTGTGGGTATTGTAGGAAGAGCTCGCGCTAGCATTTCGGAAAGGTGAAGTCTATCCAAACCGTGAAGTGCTCTCTAGTACAGACGAGTGAAATACTTGGTGTCCAAAAAACGAAAAGTGTTTGCCAGGAGTAACCTTTCAGTATCAATAAGGGAAGAATACTTGTGTTAATTGCATGTATATCTGATGCAGTTTCGACAATTGAGTGCACGTGCCAGCGCAAGTTATTCCATCCACCTAAAAGCCAATGAACACCGAGTTTTCATTGAAAAGTGATCTGACAATTCCATAAAAGCTGTTGTTCAGCATTCGGGTTCTGGTAAAGTAGTTTGCATTGTAGTTTGTAGTGTAGTAGACAGGGGTATTTTTAATTATGGCCCGAGTACTGACGTACTTAGATGAAGATGACAGCGATGAAGAGCAGGTTGAGGTAGCGAACGCCTTCACACCTGAAGAAGCTGAGACAGCAGCCGCTCTGCAACGCCATGAGTACTACGTTCGAGAGATAGAGTACACTGGAGGAGTTGTAACCATATCACCCATACTCAGGTACAAAACTATATAAAGCACATTTTTCTTCTTTTCTTAACCTAAAACAATCGTAAATATTAAATACTAGATTATCGAAAAATTAAAAAGGCTTCTAGCCGGAATGACTTTAAAGATACATATAGCAGGTAATATGAGTCATATCGGGTCAGCGTTGATGATTTTTAAAAGTTGAAATAAGATCATAGTAGATATGCTGAATTGGTGGAGTATCTTTGTTCAGGCCTAAGATAGAGCACCTTAAACCTAAATGCAATTTCTGCAAAAAGAAATCACTGTCTTTTGCGATAAAGGTATAAACGCTCAGGCTCATAAAAAAATTGAGCTGAGATGTATTATCGGAAAAACGGTCCAAAGATACTTCTATCACATTCAATCTGGGAATTTTGATACACAAAAATTTTCTTATAGTGTTCAACCAATATCGAAAAAAAGTATTGAAGTTATTGCGAGAGTTATAAAAAACCATGACACTGCTGAAAAACTGCACATCCATTAGAAAACACTTTTAAATTTAAACACAACCAGCTATAAAAAGAAGCTCGAAGTTTCAGTTCCGCATGAGCTGACGCGGAAGAATCCATGAAACTCTACAGAAACGTAACGTAACTAAAGAATTTCTTAAGCGGTTGCTCATGGCTGATAAAAAGTAGACTACAAATAACAGTAACGTGTGACAGTCTCTGCGACGCCAAGCTAATGCTATACATTTAATGGAGGTAAAAAAAGCTTAACAAAATTGATTGAGTATGACCTCTGTTGTCAAGATTACAACAACAAGCCCTTGAAAAAAATCGACCAAAACTAGTGAACAATGGAAGCATCGATGCCAGACAAAGGTTCTACGATGGCGGTATTCTAGTGTCACCAAAAAAAAATAGAAATACGCCATCAATACATACTACGATAAGTTATATTGTTCTAAAATACAAAAAAAATATTTGCTTCGATTTTGGCTTATAATTTTTCAATACTTTTTTTTTATCCTGGGATATATATATATATATACACTCGCTCGTAACAATATGCTGCACTAATGTACGTAGTGAAGCAGTCAAGATTCGACTACTGGGAACTAGTAAATTGGCTGGCAGAAACGTATTTTATAACCATCACTGGTCGGAACCGAAGACGCATTGGTTATCACAATATTTATTTCCTACGTTTTTTTCACTCTACCACGCTAGCAGATTAAATGCCCTCATCCTGCACCGAGTTCTTTCTGATGTGTCCTAGACCGGCGGTGCCACGCCATTGCCGTAATCCGCGTAATTAATGGGTATACCACGTACCTTACTTCTCGATACTCTATCCGAGCTGGGACTTAGACGACAGTTTCCAGGACGTGTCAGGCTGCTGGCACTGGAGATGCAGAAGGGTGGGCTAAAGGGGTCGGAGCGCTATAAGGAGGTTGTCGTTTTGCAGATTTGCTTGTGGGTTTTTTTGCAGCTTAAATACAGAGCGACAGAATATTTGGGCTGATTACGACTCCAACGATTTCTTCGGTGGCACGGTCTAACAGAGATACGCCTAAGGCTTCGCTGACGGTGGTATTCATCGTTAAGGCTGATACTGCAAACGCTGCAAAAACGAAAGAGCCAGGAGCTTACAGCAAAAATGCGAATATGCGTTCTGCGATTGTATGAATCGTTTTTTGCACCACTCTGTTCGCTTGCGTGATAGCTACATCAGTCATCATATGGAGAATATATAATAATTAAATGAAGAAGAAGTAATTTACGTTATCCGTGAAAATGGGCATCCATGGCTCCGTGTTTCTTCTAAAAGGCGAAGAAAACTTCAATCCGTACAGCGTTGGCTGTCGCGTGTTAAACCGGAAAAAAATGAACGAAATATGTGCAATAGTGTATATGAATCAGCACGAATAGAAGCGCCGTAGAAAGCTCCGTAAGTGATTTACAGTAATGCATCGCTTCTTTGGCTCAAGGGAGAGTTCCAGCGAAGAAACCCTACGATCAAGACATAAGAGCTCTCACATAGCAAACGCACTTTAAGGTGTAGACCGGCGTCACCAAAAACAGCACTACTCAAAGTTGATACAGACGCTACTTGAACTCCGGGGGAATACAGGGATGCCATCCAAATAGATTATTGTTATCTGGTACCGCAACTCACCGAAATGGTGTATTAGCCGCCAGAATATCGCTGGGCATAAGCCAACCCGAAAAGCATCTATCTGAATTGATATAGAGATGCGGGTTTCTATAAGTCAATGTTGCTTACGTTTTCTGGTGATAGTTGAAAACGTCATGAATATAGTTCAACAACACAACATTTCAATATGAAAGGGCACATAAAACTATTTCGCGTACTTCGCGTCATATGGGTCTTGTTGACGACATGCCTGTTCATCCGGCTCTTTTTAAGCTCGTTGTTTCTCGTCGCACTCAAAGCAAAGAAATAGCCACAAATGTCCGTGAATTTTCGTTCCCAGTTCCTAACGTTCGTCGGAAAAAGCTTATCTGATAGGGAGCTCAAAGTGACGACATAGGCACTCAAACAGCAGTGAGGAGTCAGGAGATACGCGAGGTGATTTTGTATCACTATGTCTGATTCCAGCGCTTTTTCGAGGAGTGAGGCTTTGACGCGATTCAATTGTTCACGACCGTGAGATCGTCCCAACTGTTTCCTTCAATCGGAGCTACATTAATAATGAACAAGCTGAGAGCGGTTGCGGAGGTCAAGCGATGAGGCAATTTAATCGCTCATACGGTCAACACTACCTTCCTGCATCTTTCGGTAACGTGTGCAGTGAAACCTCTGCCCTTTGCAAAGAGCAACCTTAGATACGGAAACCGGTTCATGTAGGCAAGAGGAAACTTTGTGAGGTACAAAATGTCAATAGCCTGTTCTGTCCTTTCATTTTTATTATTTATTTAATCTAACCTTTATCGCTTTTATTTATATGTAAACTTCATCGCGTCTTGATCAGGTTTACGGTCAGTATTAAATCTGTGACTCTCGTGCGGAGCCGGGCTAGAACTTGCTGCATTTGAAATCCGTTCATCCATCAGTCTATATATCAGTATATACAAGATAACTTTAACTAATTTCCTTAACCCTCTTATCTTATCAGGAAGGCCCTTCAGTAAAACAAAGAATAAGGGCAGGTTTAGGTTGAATCCCACTACGGCTACTAAAAACACAGCAACAACGGGGACACACCTTTGGAAACTAGCGATCAACCGGCCTGATGGTATTCCCACCATAATCGTGATAGTGTAGTATTAACGTGTGGTGGCGCAGGTTCGAATCCGTGACAGTTCATCTAGTACTGGGAGTTAGATTTATGAAGCAATGATTAACGATATAGGACGTGAGAGTCTAAAAAAACTAAATAATAGATAATAATAAAGATAAATAATTATCCACCGTCGACCGGAACGGGAAATACATGTATATTACATTTTCATGTACGTTTTCATGGCGATGCAAACATGCTATATAAGCAATTTCTTAGGTTTGCATTGCCATGAAAACGTGCCGAGGTAATTAATGCAAGCATTATTCCAGGCAGATTTTTTCGCTTCTATTGTGCTGTATCTTATCTTTGAATTCAAGACCGATTAAACAACGCTAGTGTGGTGCTACAAAGATTTTACAGCAAAGCACGACACCTGCAGTTTTTCTAACCTGACGAGATATTAAGTCCCAACCAAGCATATGTTAATACACTCCTTTAAGCTGAATCTTCTAATCGCCAAATACGAGAAACTCTAGTCGTAACCATCTCGATCACTTCCTGTGACACGAGCGATCGGATTCAACCCTTACAAACCTGCAATTAAAAAACTAAATCAAGCAATGATGTTTCCCGTTCATTGTTACCTATTATGCCCTATCCCAGAGCGTACCGAATGTAACTAAATTTTGGAAAATTACTAGAAAAATGGAATGTTTACTTTCGCAAATTTACATAATCAACAAAAAATGAGATTCCGAATCTTCATATTAGAAAAATTCTTTTACGGCGCTTCTCATCTCCCAGAAAACTCGTTAAAGCAATTCTTGTGCATTGGAATGGATCCTAAGTATTATAGGTCTTCTCAAGCTTTTTCCAATCCCTGTGCATTCGACAGCTAAATAAAATACCAGCTAAGTACTGAACTCATTAATGAACATTTGGTCTGTGGCCACTAAAGCGAACCTTTTTTGGCGCTTTCTTTTTAAAATAGTTTTTAAAACCTTTTTGTTTACACCACACTATAGGCTGGCGATGAAAAATTCAGGTGCAAAGTTCCTGTCAGTTAACGTTTTTTTATTCTCTTTGTTTTCGTTATAATAATGAGATCAAATTAACAGGCTTTTACGCAACTAGGTATTTATATATGGGATATATATTAAATGATAGGATAAAGCGTACAAAACATGCTGAGCACAAATGTAATCATACGAAGAGCTTAGCTGTTGATCAAAGCAAACATTTGAAATCGTTTTTAATTTGGCGCCACCCAAGCGCTGGTGGTCTGATCATCAGTCTCATTGTTCTGATTCCACCATTCGTATTGGGGACATTAAGAGCGAGAGAAATACCATAAGCTTTTGCCGTACGTTATATAGCACTGCTCGATTACTGTTTTGGTGTACGAAGTTCCTGCTTGTGATCGCTGCTTTCGTCTGCAACTATAGCGGCCGTTTGCGCTATATTATGTTGTTGTTATTATTATCCCATGCTGCGTGTCTGGTAGAATCTTGTTTGCGCGTATAACCAACTCAGCTGGCAGCTGGTATTTACCGTAGTCGTCGGAGTGAGCGTTGCCTGTCGAAATCAATAGAAAGTGAGAGAAAGATCATACAAGTCAAATGCAATATCCGAAGGATAAGTTTTAGCTGTATTAATACTACTTAAAAGATTGGTCCATTGCTACGACCATAATCTTCTATACATAAACAAATATAACAACTAGAAAGCAAATCAAATGTTCTGTAAGTAGTGTTTTCAAGCACCGGATGAGTTTTACAACAAGCAGGTCGTTTGCTTTTGGCTACTTCTTTTTCTGAGCAGATCTTTAATTGTGGTGTTGCTAGTATAGGTTTTGTGAGCTGGTTTTGATCACTGCTGTCGTAGCTGCTAGTCGCCATTAAGTGTCATTACTAATCTTCCACCAAAATGTCGGTCTGATCTCTGAATATTGCTGTTGTTCGACGAATTTTTGCCTCGGTGACTTTATTATATTAGTGAGCCCTTCGTGTGCCGATTCGCTCTCTCTTAAAGAGTGAGTTTAAAAAGAACTCATTTCTGATACGATTACCATTATATTGTTAGTGGACCTAGTGTTTGTTCTCGAACTCTTTGCAAGGTTCAATCTGGGTTCATTATAAATATCCGCAATGACGTGAGAATATTGAGAGGAGTGTTCATAGGGAGGTCGCACAGTGGCTACGAGTGTCATAAAAATGTGCACGTGTGTGAGGAGTAGATGAGAGAAAACGTAATCATCGCCGATTATCAAGGAAATACTAGGAAAGCATCATCATGTCTAAGGATATTCCTAGTACCACCTCTCCGACTACAACGGTAGGGACTGAAGGAATTTTGTTGTTGTCAGCCGCTGAGGACGCAGACAAACGACGGCAGCAGGAACACGAGCACCTGCTTAAGGAGATTGAGACAAGTGATTCCTCGACTGTCGGCCACGTTCTCAGGTAGAACCTTTCAGTAAATGTTGCTTGGTTTTTAATAGTATTTAAAATAAACTATAAGTTGCGAGGCATACATTTAACGATAAGGCAAAGGGAGTCCCATAGTCGTCTCTTCTGCGCTGAGAAACAGCACTGCGCCTGCGCAAGGTTTTCTGTGTTCAGTTAAGGCAATTTAGTTTAGTGAAGAGTGACATGGTTCGGATAATTTATCAGCACCGATCTTGGTCATGCGACAGATGCGTATTCATTCCGTATCCTAACGAATAGTAGGTGGCACAGTGAAGAATGGGGGAGTCCAATTATTGCACGTCGATCGCATCTACTACAAAATTTGCAGTTCATTCCTTATGTGTGGAATGTAACTGCCCTGAACGTGTATAAATTTTTCATAGAAACCGTGTCCGTCTTTTTGATTAGCTTAAAATGATAGCACAAGGTGGGTACATTCTTAATGCCATATTATTGCTGTTCTAAGGACGTCATAGAAGGTTAAATATCAACTAAATTCTGTTGCTAAAGAGTGAATGGGTTTGCGTAATAGTCAGCTGAACCATTTTGATCACACTTTTTTGCTCATATCCATCGTTAGAGCATGGTACGGATATACTAAACGCTTTTGAGGAACTTTTAATTGCGATTGTTATATATAACAATCGCAAATTATTAGCCGCAATATATAATTAGTACTAGTTTATAGTAGCTTATGAAAAAGACTGCAGTCAAGCAGTATTGGACGGAAAACTCGAAACATTTTGAGCATCAATGTTGTGAACGACAGCATTCTAAATTAAGGAACCGGAGCAAATTCGAATAATCCATCTGTTTGTGTGACATTCAAGGACGGCGATATTTTATTTACAAGCCTAGTAATTTCCGTTGTTTTTTTTTATTAAATTCGCTACTTTTATCTATGTTAAACCTTAGTCGTCTCATTCCTTATATATTACTAAGCAACATAGCTCAATCAGTAGTTAATAGCCAAATGCTGGCGTGGGTACAGACCTAAAGAATTTTTCGTATTAAAAAAATGTTTTGCTTTCTGATTCAACTTGGTACAGTAAAAATTGTGACTGTAACTGTGTGCAAAGTTTATAAACTCACGCATAAAATAAGACTGACTTGGGAGTCGCGTCGGACGTAACCATTGCAGCAAACAACATGCCTTGTATGTCTCTTCATCCGAAAGGGACACAGGCATCGTGCCTCCGTATCTCTTGTTGATGCAATAAACCGGGAGAGGAAATATGGCATATAATACTTCACGTCAAGACTGGCACTCCGTACTATAAACCTGCTCTTCGAGGGTTTTGAACAAAGTGGGCCCAGTTATTTCACAGGTTCACTTTTGAATGGCCCCAGTAGTTACAGCACATAGTTCCTCAACTATGGAACCGTATCCGATCGTGTAGTGCTAGCTATAGATGTGATCAACGAACTTAACGAAGATCTTTCTCCCCCCTGTCGGAAATTTAGTTGTTAAAGTTATCGATTGAAAAAAATCTGGTATTTCCATAGCCACGCCATGGCTGTTAGCTAGAAAATAAAAGGAAAATAGCCAGGACTGCCAATTAATTAATCGGCTACCCTGGCTGTTTTCGTGTTCCGCTTTGATTCTCCATTTCCACCATGTATACTACCAGGCTTTTTTCCGGAAGGAAGTAGCTATAGACATATTTTAAGCAAAGTACATCCGTCTGGCTTTCCTCTACGCATTTGAGCTGAAATTTATTTTGTTTAGTTATGGTTGTACTTGATTGACACAAGTAGAAACTTTAATTACTGACGTTTCAATAATTTTTCGTATAGTACGTACAATCTGAAAAGATCACATGTAGCAGGAACATAGTAAACAACGTAGAGCTATTCACTAAACGGATAAAAAGAATCAGAAGCACCTTAATATATGAAAGTGTGCAGTTTTATAATCCAATAGGTAAATGTAAAGTATTTATATTTGTTATGTATTTATTAAGTAATTTATTAATTATTATTATGTGTTTGTTCAACATACGAAATTATTATACGAATATACCAATATCATCATGTCTAGATAAAACCTATATGTTCAAATAAAATTCTACTGGTGTAACTGATAAATAAGGTCTAATTTTAGGTGTCGTTTAAAACGTCTTTTAACGTAAATATTTGTGGTATGATTCATTGTCTTTTTCATTGTACTAGTAAACCCAAAATTTGGCACTAAGCAGGATATAGTACATCTTTTGTACATACATACATGTCGAAAACTATTACCACTAGTACACGCGCAAAGAGTAATACTGCGTGCAACGATGGCTACCAAATTTAAATATATAATTTTATTAAAACTTAAATTGTTTGACTTTAATTGGTCCTACTAGATTATTATTAAAAAGGCACTCTGAATATTATTCTGTATAGTATATATAATACTATATTCTGCATACACTTTCTTTTTTAACTATAACTAAACTAGATTAAAAAAAAACATGTATTTTGCACGCAATGCGTATTTTCTAATATTAATGGCAAATATCTGTTCAGATATATACGAAGATCTGGCAAAAGTCATTCAACATTTAAAAAACTACACCTAAGAAGTTATGCCTTTATTATATATTACATTAAAATAGCAGAAGACATAACAGCTGATGCAAAGGGTGAATTTATATTGAATTTATTTATTTTTACCATACTATATAGATACATTTTTGAATGTTCAAAGTAGAACAAAATCTTTAATCTAGCATTTGAGGCCCTGTTTATTCATGTACTGTTTCTGTATGTTTATAATACTAAGATATGGGATAATGTAGAACCTATCTATTCTTGTCGCTTTCTTAGAGCGATTTACGATGGAGACGACCACGCCAAATTCCTTGAAAAATTACGCGCTCGCATCGACGACCATTCGAGAGAAATCCAAAAGATGTGCAATTTTCACTATCAAGGATTTATCGATTCAATCAATGAACTGCTTCAAGTCAAGAGTCAAGCGGCGAAACTCAAGGTAACCAAGGAGATTTTATTTAAAACAACTTCTTGGCAATTATCAGCTACCAATACCGCACATATTTGAAAAAAATATTGGTTTAATTTGTAAACTGTTTGGTTCTGCATTGAAATCGGCAGAACAGAAGAAAAAGAAAGTACAGCAGGTATTCTGCTCTCGAATCATTTTTGACATGTGAATTACGAGTGGTGCATTTGAAAAACAGCTAATGATATTGCCTCTTTCAACGTTTCAGGGAGAAGTGTCAGAAATCCATGCTGAATTGAGTGATAGCACAGAGAAAGCATTGGCAAAAGGCGAAGCCCTAGTTCGAGTTAGAAGAACGCAATGCAACATTAAGGCAGCCATAGAGGCATTATCAATTTGCCTGCCTGTTCTCGACATGTATTCGAAACTCAACGAGCAGATGGCTGCTAAACGCCATTATCCGGCTTTGAAAACTATTGAACTATTAGAACATACTTACCTGCCTTTAATACAAAGGCATAAGTTTGCACAAACTATGGGACAACGTCTGCCTCGCTTTCGCGCGCAAATTGAAGAGGCTTCCATGACCGAACTTAAAGATTTTCTGGAGAGCATACGAAAACACTCAGCACACATTGGGGATATTGCCATTGTACAGGTGGGGCGTCACTAACAACAAAGTAGTTACACATGTCAACGATAATGAAGAATACAAGTATACCTCACTTCTTTACGCATGTCGATGCGCACCCAAATAAATATCAATCGAAATTGGCATATTATTTATATTTACGCGTTTGAGGACTGTTACGAAGTTCTTTTGTAGACAAGCTGCAACATCATTTAAGATTTATCTCGTGTATATTTGTGCGGTATACTAGGCTAGCGAGCAATATCAGATCGAAGCGGAGGGCTTTACACATGGCGCCATTAACAGTGTGTCTAATGGTCCGACATCTGGCGTCAAACTCAAAAAGCCCTCGTCGATATCCGGACCCTCTGATGGCGAAAATACAGCCTCGGTTGGAACTGCACAAGATTTGGTGGACTTCAGCCCAGTTTACCGCTGTTACCATATATTCGGTGTTCTGGGTAATGGCGAACGTTTCAGAACTTATTATCGGAGCAGTCGGGAAGAACAGGCCAAACTCGCTCTGCAGTCCGCGTTTAATATGCACGCCTCACTCGAAGGTTATCGTGCTTTTTTTAACGAGGTGGCTGGCTTTTTTGTCGTTGAGGAGCATGTGGCAAATACGGCAGGTGGACTAGTTAGTCGAACCGAACTTGAAACTTCGTGGGCGGAGGCATGTCATCGCGTAGAGGCTGCTCTCAGAACGAGTACTGGCTACTGTACAGAAGCTCCCCTCATGCTCCGAGTCAAGACACTCATTATGCTATTTGCATATACGCTCAAAGTAAGTATTACTGAATAAGCAGCTTGATAGTATAGATATATGGGAATTACTTGAGATTGTCAGAAAAAACTTGTAGATCGTATCTGGTGTTGTGTGCCGCAGCAGGGCTGGTTGGATGGCTAGAAGTAATGACGAGAGCATATAATTATGCAATTTCTTATATTTTTTAAGCTATCCTACATAGGAGACATTTAAGTCGATTTCCGTCACGGCACAGATAGGAGATTAGCTGCGAGAATGTTTAGGTTAAAATGCTTTGCAACAATGGTCGTCACTTTTATTCTTTACGGTGAATTCTTACGCAGGGTTATGGCTACAAGGTAGATCCTCTAATTAAATTACTGTTGGAGGTGTATGAGCACTACAATGAAATCCTTATGAAGACCTGCAAAGATTCATTTCGGCAACTCTTTGAAGTGGACAGCTATCATCCGATGCAAGTTGACACCGAAGAAGAATATAGGTTTGTAAAAATCCATAGATTTATGGTAGTAATTCAACGAACTAATCCAGGTAATCGACCTTTACGCTAAAATCCCGTTAGTGAACCTTTAAAGTCAACCAATTGAATATGACACAAAATTGTGGATCTACTATAATTATATTCTTTATAATTATATGCTAAACTGAATATAGCGAACATTCAGAGCTAACAGAGGAACACGTTGGTCCTTGTTGATGTTCTAGACGGGTGCTGAGTAAATTTCCATTTCGCGACGAAGTTTTGGAGAGGTCACCGTTTCCACGCAAGTTTCCTTTTTCTAGTTTTGTTCCGGCAGTTTACACGTATGTTAAGGACTTTGTCGGCGAATCACTCAAGTTTCTGCAGGACTTAAATTTAAGGTAATCATCGTTAAGGGAAATCGCTGCTAAAGAAAAGTAAATCAGGATAACCACTTCATTTCATTGCTCCTATTGTTTGAAACTTATAAATAAAATCCTACGATTAATATTATGTGTTTTAGTACTTGCACAGTTTTATACATAAATTGTTGTTAACCTTTTTCTGTCTCTCAATTTTAGTGATGTGTGAATATATTCTTTGCGAATGGCAATTCTAAGCTTGAATGTTGTATATTAGCCGCCGCGTACTGTAACGTTTATCTTCAGGACCATAATGGCGTCCTTGATATATTACATTTTCATTTTTGTTAATTCTCATCTTGTAACACAGAAAGATTCAATATTATAGTACGAGAATATGCGTACTTTTTGTTGTATTAGTCAAAGTGAAGTGGAGGATATGGTGCGCAAGTCAACAAACCTACTCCTGACGCGGACGTTGAGCGGATGTCTTACGGCGCTTATCGAGAAGCCCTCTTTAGGTCTCTTGCAACTCATTCAGATCACAATTAATACGAATTATCTTGAGGAGACCTCATTCTTTCTCGAAGAACATATTCAATCCATCTTCAGGTTAGTAACATGCCAAGCCTGCCGGCTTTAGGGCTCCTGTTGATGTGTTTCTGTGTGCTCTTTGCCCTTGGTGCACAGTGTTTTAAGTGCGTATTGCATACAATACGCTCAAGGTAATATTAGAATCATAATTCAACATAGAACACATTTATTCAGCGTTTTTATAATAGCATTTAAAGTTCTGGCTTCCTCCTTTTTCAAATAGAAACACAACGTTTGAACTGTATTGCAATATCATCAATAATTCCAATAGCGTAATTGTAGATTTAAACAATATGTCTATCCTTTTTTGACTTTTTGCTTTGAAGTTTGTTGTTACCGTAACTGTTTATCACCCATCACCTTCCTGTTGGAATAGGTCGCCAGCATCAGCTGGTGGTAGTGCTAGTGTAGGAAGCGGCGTGGGAACCAATTCTGGAACGGGTGTGTCGTCTCACGCTACACGACTACAAGGCAAGGCGATCTTCAAGGACTCTCGTAAGAACGCCGAAGACCAAATCTACAAACAGATCAAACGCAAAATCGACGAGAGTATCGAGCTGGCAACTTACGAATGGACCGCCGCTGAGGCTCGCGGTACTGCTTCCGCCTACATGCTCGATTTAATTGCGTTTCTCAACAACGTCTTCCAAGCGTTCACCAATCTACCCGTAAGTACCCTGTAGGCACAAAACATAGAATAAATTTTATCAGTATACAATTTTCTGGATCCTATTCGTTCACATCTTTAAAGAATTCAAGTTGTGTAATCTAATGAGTCAATGAATCAATTTAGTCTTGAGCGTGTTCTTAGTTGGTTCTTCAGGAATATACTTATGTGAAATGGGCATTATGTATAATTAATAACCTTTGAATGCTGAAAACAGACAACTAGTCTCCAACCTATAGTCAAATTAAGCTAACTGCAGTGGAACAAAACTTGACCCTTACATTGTATGAAATGCAGTATCCTCAATTGGGCTAATCAGTGGGCTAAACTTTTCAACTACCCTGAGGATTAGTTTACTCCCTACTTATTTAACAACAAAATTTGTAAGGAAATTTGGATCAATCTAAATTTAATATAAAATATGTGTGTATATTTTTGATCCTATTCCGGTCACATCTATTAAGGCTAACGGCTTCATGTTAACGATTATGTGCAAAAAAAATGCATTTTTCTCTAGCAGTAGGTAACACTTTTGAGTGTAAAAGTTGTACTCAAAAAGTCGTCGATACACTCTGCCCCACAGTCTCGCATCGTAGGCTGAACAGAAAAAGTATTGCTTCTTTGGAAGAACAACAATAATTTCAACATCAGGAGCTCGTTCGAATATAAGTCCGCTTGGGTCGCAACGAGCCACCATTTACCATCGTCTGGAGTAGATTGCATGCATCGTTGCTCCCCGTCGGTGTTTCCATACTTATAATTATTCTGAGGGAGTGTTTGCATATAAGCACTTTATAACTTCGATTTTTTATTCATATCTTTATCAGAGTTAATTGTCCAGCAGTCGTAGTTCACACCTCTCTTATTATCCACTTAGAACTAACCATCAAAGAATTTTAATAATGATTTGGGATTGTTAATTTTGGTTTAAATCCTCTCCCTGAAAGCTGTAATCTTTTTTATTAATTGCTTATTCTATTCAAAGCATGCTACAATAAATGTGTGATAAAATAGGAAGGTTCTGTTATTTCAAGCAGAGTATACACAATCTATGAATAAGGATGACGAGCCCTTTGATAATTAAAAGAATAAGCCGTACATAGTACATAGTTGTAAGTAATACGTTATTTATAGAAGCATTTCGTATAGTAGCATGTTTGCTTCCGTTCAGAATGATTTGTTTGTTCGATTATTTTGCATGTAGCGCTTTCTGCTATCTCTATTTATAATACAGTGCTATAATTCAGTGCCCGAACTGAGTAATTGCTGCTCGACTCATATTATAATGATAGCGACATTCAGCAGTTTTCGAATGTTAAGACCGAACGGTGATTTCTGGAATGACATTAACAACATGCCTACTTGGACATGAAATATAAGTAGAATCCTTATTATAGAAAGGGCGGATTCGTGTCTATAAAATATGTGCCGGACGATACGCATCCGCTCTCAGTGTATTAAATACCCGAAGCAGCAGCATTCGTTACTCGCTTTACGGTAAATGCTGTGTTGAAGCCACGTGCGTAACAGGTGTCGTCGGGATCTTTTAATCTTCATACATCAAAATTATTTCTTTCAGGCATGGAAATTAGTGGAATTAAGTCTCTTGACTGTCGACTCTAACTTATGTATAGTTAGAAACAGAAGGAAACGGTTATCAATTTACGGTACCGCAAGTAGCCTTCCCTCGGCTTTAGCTAGACGGAGACAACAGAGTAAACTGTATAACAAAACAGTACATTTACAGCTGGACAAAAATAGTTTCATATGTATAATAGAAATGGCAAAAATGCATACATTTTCTACTGTGATACATACCTAGCACGCCAGTGACGTATATTTAGTCTAAAAGGTTGCTTCTTCTATTACCTGGAGTGTTATGCGAATTTCTTTACCTTCTTATGTTTTTACGTAATGTACCTTTTTAGTATTTAATCAAGATTTATATATACCCCTTATCATTTTTTATTTATATTGTTGTACTGTTATATTATAACAAATACCTTAAGGTACTTCTATATAATGTATATTTATAATATATGTGTACCTTAACTAAAATTGCACAGTGTTTATTTTTATGTCGCAAGGTTTAAGGCAGCTAATTTTTTACTAAGGCGCGAAGCCACCCAAGCCATTACGCAGTCTGTATATAAACTCATCATAAAAAAACAAATGTATCGTGTGTGTGTATATGCTGTTTAGTTTATCTAACATTGGATCGGTGTGTTTTATTTCGTTTTTTGAAATTTATTTTTCAATCCATTGGTGCGCCTTCGCCTGCTGCTGCATGCGTTCCTAAAATATCCAATCCGTCACTGCCTCACGGCTGTTGTAGGTGAGAGGCGATATCTGCGAGTTTAAGGTTTGTAGACGAAGAAAATTTTATTTGGTCAGATTTCTATCTTCTACTGGACTTTTCTCATCTCATCGGTGATGGTTTGGTGATGCTTTTACCTCGGTGAAGTTTTGATGCGGTCGACTACCCACTAATTCTCACGAGTAACCCATCAGCTACAAATCTTACACAAGCTGCTACTTTCCCATTCTTAACCCACTGCTCCTATTATTATTGGATTAGTTGTTACTCCAGTTAGATATCTGACATTCCTGCGAACGTATTAAAATATATATTATTTCCGTAAGCCGCTTTAATGTATATGTTTTCCTTGTCAAGTGAACGAAGTTCTATTTTCGTTTTAAGTTTTGAAGTAGAACGTGTTTTCTTTATACCGAAAAATAAATTTCTCTGTTTTGAGTGAAGTTAGATACAAATGAGTTTCATGGACGAATTTGATTATTGCTTGCTTGCATGATTAGGAATTGTTTAGTCATTTATTCTCATTAGTTCAGCTATTTTATGTATGTCGTTTTGCTTGGCCTCAATTTACGTTGATCTTGCGGCATGTATCAGATCACTAAATTCGGTAAATGCATTTTGTACTACTTCTAATGGGATTAGTTGGCTAGAGCCCATATAAAACAAGACGAAGACTTTGAAAAAAGGGTTAGTTAGTTTGAAAAATCGATAAAAAATCAGTCATACCAAAGGTAGCAAAAGTAAGGTCATGACTCGGTTGGTGTGACAGCCACAACTGTGTAAAGCTTCAACAGCGTCTATTGTTATTCAGGATTTGTTAAGGTGCCACACATATAACTACTCTTTTGCCTGAACTTAACATCTAAATAGCGTTACGTTCTGAGAAGTGTGTCTAGATGTTTTATTACACAGTAACGCTTCTTAACTTGATTTTTCATTGCACCCTATGGCGGAACTAGTGAACTTCTTGGTGATTTAGAAGTTAATCTTATGGTGTTTTCACCATCGCCACCACTGACAACAATCTCCGGCGTTATCCACAGGATAGAGTTGCGCAAACAGCGTGCATGACGGCTTGTCAACATCTTTCCGGGAAGCTACTCGATCTCCTCCGCAACGAAGAAGTAAAAGCGATATCTACGGGTGCCGTGGAACAGTTCAATTTGGATTTGATTCAGTGTGAACAGTTTGCCACCTCGGAACCTGTGCAGGGTCTTAATGCAGATGTGTTGCCCATGTTCTTCGTTGAGTTAAGACAGCTTGTCGATCTCGTCATGGATGAGGACTGGCAGACCTACTTACAGGAGAAAAGCGACGGAAGAAACGATGCAAAATATCTTCGGGTCCAGCCGACTACAGCACTTATCGTTCTAGAAAAGTAATCAGCTTATTTTTGCTTACCATTAGAGAATTATGAAAATTATTCTATTATAATGTAGCTAAATTTTACCTAACCTAGTACAGGTTCTAATCAGTACGAGGCAACCGAATGAACATAGTCAAATGTAGTAAGCTGCTAAGGATAAGGAACGTTTTTTTCGTCAAGTGGGTACCTTCTCAAGATAAAGACAATTTTTTATGCTAGATATGTTAAGTCACTGTACCTTTTTACTGGCTATTTTTCCAGGGTGTGTGCAGCGGACAAAAAGCGAAATACGTTGCTGAACTTCAATCAAAAACAGAAGGAACGCAAAAAACTTCTCGAATGGGCCGTTAAACAGTTAAGAATAATCACGCAGGCCAATGGAGTGTTCAACCATAATAATAATTCTTTATAGTGGTTTCAGCGAAATTACATCAGCTACCACGAAACCAGAGTGCATGTAATGTTTTTGGCTACGTAAGGAAAGCGCCAAAATTGTCCTGCGTCTGAATCCACATCATGGATCCGCCGATTAGTAAGGGGACTTCAGAGGCTATTTCTGCACGCAAAGATTAGATTATTTTGAGTCATACCATAATCATGGTAAATATTTTATACAAAGCTGGCGATATACCAACCCAGATCGTGTAAAGGGAAAGGTGCTCGAATGAAAACAAGATATGCGCATGTAATGCGCATATCTGCATGTATACAGACAAAAAACGTTTGGTGGACGGTTACAAAATCAGAAACAACCACCCTTCTCCTTTTCGCGCAATGGAACGATTTGTCGGTATCATGTGTAGCGCGAAAGAGTCATCAACTGTTTAGGACACCAGACGTTACCCGAACAATCTGGCTTCTATAGTTTCACATTGTAACTTCAGGGAACATGTCTGAACCACCATCATGATAGGTATTAAACAACGAAAATTAGGACAGTAGGTTCCATCATAAATGAACATTTATGTTATTAAGTTTGTTTCTTTAATTTATCAAAAAAACTATACTTAAATTATTGTTGTTCTGATCATAGATTTATTGGTATCAATTTTATGATAGCGGTAGTTCCTAGCCAACAAAAACGCCTTTTTTACTTTATAAGCTAATAGGCCCGGAACGATATGCATGAAGTGAATAAAGCAAACCTATTATTGCTATTCATGCATACTACGCCAAAAAAAATTGCTGGAAATACACGCGACGCCATATGTACGGTACTATTTAGTTACATACAATTCTCTCCATAGATTTTACATGTATGTAATATAGAAAACGGTAACAGATTACGGAAACTTTCTGCTACCATTGGTGAACTATTTCGAAAAGTCTCTTTCTAACATGTTAATTTATATGTTACTTTTAGGCAAAGCCTTGATTAGATAACATCTCTTTTGTGGAAACCAATGCTTCGGGTTGCTTACGACCCGAGTCTGCCCATATGTCTGTCTGTGCAGTCTTCCCTCATTTAATAGTGTGATATCATCTATCCGTCGTAATGTATGTGAAGTGCCGGACCTATCATAAGAAAAATCGTTAACTAATAGCAAGCCCTAGATGCTTATTATAATAATATATTACCTAATTAAATCCTAGGGCAATTATTTTTGTTTTGAGATGAAAGACGGTACATTTTCGGTAATTATTATCACAGTGAATCCAGATATGCCAGCCAGAAGAAGGCCACACATAAAATTCGCTGTCTGAGAATGTACCCATCCCAAAGTGTCAGAGCATAAATAACAGATAATTCCAACATCACACAAACAGGTCTTACTAGCAATGATCATAGTGACGATGATAGTACGTCGTAATACTATCATATTGCAATGGCGCGTACATTGTGTCTTATTATCTTTATGAGCTATGCGTCGTACAAAAATCAAAGGTCGCATTCAAATGGCTGATAACAAAGACACACAAGAGCCTAATTTTTAACTAAAGACTATTATTTATGTCTATCATAATGTTGATTAGCTAATGAGTTGATCCATTAAAGAAGCGCTAACAGTAAGAATCGCAACAACGATGGTGATGATATACTTAAACGGCACTTCCTGCAAATAAAAACGATAGCGGTAACTTGATTGACAGTTAATTGTATAGTGTAATATTTAATAAAGGTCGCCAAGAGAACATGTCTTATTCAGATAATAAAATAAAAATATAAATTAACGCCTTATTTTGAATTAGATGTTGCTGTGGTCTCTATTTTGTACACTTCTGAATCGTTCTTTATATATCTGCTACATTTTTCAGATCGCCGAAAAGGATTCGAACATTCACGCAATCCCAAAACGTTTGAGAACTTACGTAATATGTTATGTAGCTACTATAAAGAATAGTTTATTAGCAGGGTGGCGAGTTCAGGATGAAGAATAGTCACTTCCCTGGCAACGACAGTTTACGTTTATTAAAGTTGAATAGAGCAGAACTGTAATTTTGAAATACTAGGAGAAGCATTCACCCTATTTTTTTTTACACGTATTGATTTTTTTGCAGATACAAGCACTAAGTGATTTGCATTGCGTGAAAGCGTTTTCGTTTTTGGTAGCCTAATGTACCAGTAGTGAAGCTATGAAATCTTCCTACCTTACTAAATCCTATCGAGCCTCAATTATGTGGGGACTAAATTTAAACGGGTTTCCTTTACATTTCGCTTTGGTTTGACCACTATCCGCTTGTTATAAGCCCAAAGGTCATAGGTGTCTCTGTTGACTTTCAGGACGGCAAAATCGTATTTTTGATAGTACACTTCTATATCCTCAAATTCACTGATAGGCTGGCTACAACGAACACATTTGGACAGCTCGAACAAGAAACAAATAGTGCATCAGCACGCGTTTCCACTAAGCGGAAGGAATTGTCTCTAGAAAACCTTTTCCAAAATCGATAGACTGCCTCATATCCACATGCCTGTGATGCCTTCGTCAAATAAACGAACGTTCAAGTTTGAGAACATTCGTAACAGTGGATTGATACATAAAACTGGTCATAAATTGAAAAGTATTTATGTATAAAATGAACATATTTTTTATAATATAAACAATGTAGGGTAAAAGTGATGAAACTCCGTCTCGAAATTTGTACACATGTCCTGGCAGAACCTGGGTTAACGTAAGCAGATGTCATAACCGGTCCTGTTAAAAATGTCGGCTATTGCTACGTCGCAAAGATCTGCCCCAATTTGCAAGCTTCCAAATTAATTTGCGAAAGAGGTCAGAACATTTAAGAGAACGCGCACCGCTATCTAAAGCTTACTACATCTGACACTTAGCAATCTGCTAAGAAGATATACAAGTGTAAGATATGGTTAAAAAAAAACGCGTCGTTGTGTATTTTTGCAAGAATCTCTCTTTATCGTTTAAAAATGGCAGATGGTATAAGCACCACATGCTGCAAGAGATATGGATAAGGAATATGAAATATGCCATTTCTTAGTACTATCGGAGCAGAAAGTCAGAGTAGATAGCCAGAGCAGCATATTATATAAGAAGTACTTTGCATTACTCACACACAAGCTCCATTAAGAACACCTGCCTAATGAAACGGCTAAGCCCGCTATACTCGTTCCACGTGAGCTCCGATGAATGCTTTTAAAAAGCATTTGTGAATTAGAGAGCAAATAAACTACAATGAGGAAAGTAACAGAAACACGTATAAGACTTCAGATGGGAGTCTTCGTGGTATTGACAAACAAAATCACCCTGAACGACCATAAATATCTAAATAACAACGATAAATAATGCCGTCACATACCAAAACCATAAACTGTTTCAAGAACGAAATGAGATTTTACTGAGGAACTGAGAGCTATTTCCGCTCAAAGCCACCCATTTGGGAATAATTTTAGCAAATTCTAACAAGTCTGTACATCCTGCAAAAAAATAGGCTATTAGTCTTGTAACTGAAGCTCAAATATCTCGCATTATGCAGTGCTTAAGAAATAACTATCATATGGATACGCAACAATGCAGAGGTAGCAAAGCCTACTCACAAAAAATGCAAAGAGAGAGAAATTAATAATTCCCAAACCGCTACCTACCACTGAATGCGCGCATCTCATATGTACCCATATTCCAGAAAATTTTAAAGCGCTGAAAAACGCTATGACTACTCCAGGCCGAGGGTAGACCAGGCCTACCTACCATTTTACTTGTAAAATATCACAAACATACCATAAACACCTTTCAGAATTTACATGAGGGCGCAGAGACAACATACTTACTCGCTAAATATAGAAATATATGAATCTATGGTTCGCATGAAATTGACCCGTTTGCTTCACGCTGAAGGTCAGCCGTCCGAATCAATAATAACGCAGTTTTTCATATAAAGCTTGAATATCTTATTACATCTTTAGTCACCGTAACTACGCAATCGAATTTTGATGTACCCCGATTTTGACGCACACATACCGTGAACGAGCCAGGCATCAACGCTTAGAAACGCACATATTTATAAAAGTTACGTTGTCATGAGTATTGCATGAGAAAATCACAAAAATAGTTTGGTTACTGGAATTTATTTTCCATTGAAAAGGCGGCATGTAGGGCTAGTGCTTATTTATATACGCTAAGGGTTCGGTAGTACAGAGTTGTAACAAAGTTCATCTGATCTCACTACACCACCGAATGTAAAATACCGAATAAAAACTCGAAAAAAATATTTGGATTTTCTTTTCCTCTACTGCATATAACTGTATCGAAAGATATTACGGACATTGACCTCCATAATGATACACTAAACACAAAAAAAATTAAATTTAGGTTTTAAAAAAGGGGTGAAATGGACAGAATCGGGCTCACTGCGCGTAAACGATCAATCTTAGGAAAATGGTGAAAGATTTCATACCTAGATCTACCCCGAGCTCTAGTGACAGGTTCTTCGATCTTATATTTGTTGAGAAAATGATGTAATGAGTACTACCAACTTCAAGTTTTATACAACCTACATATGTACATGAACAAATACGATACGCCTGTCACTTCACTGTACAGTACCGTTGTTCGACAGAAAATAGCGACGACTGAAAGCTCTATAATCTTTTTTAATCGCTGACTACTTAAATTCCTGTTGTTTTCCAGCATCTCACGTGTATCAGCCCGCCGTAGTTGTTACATAGCAAGACGTTCCTACTTTTTTTTTTATGTGACAGTTTTTCCTGGAACAAGAATAGATTTTACTTGGGTGTCCAGTTATAACTGCATATAAAGATCGGTACAGTTGCGAACTGTCTGTAGAAAGGTCTTAACAGCTTTAATCTTTAGAAAACCAGTAGATTCGCGGTTATGTTTCAGGTCTCGTAGGAGCTGAGCAATCCGTGCAACATCGCTAGGTGATATCGTATGCTCCCACAATATTTAGATAAGGTCTGCCTATGCTAGACTCTGCAATATTACGACAAACAGTCACGCTTAAGAACAGAATAATTCATCTTCGAACTAACAAAAAGTTCGAGGGCAGTACTTCCTTATAAAAAATTATCAATTAGCGTCACATTATTATAGTCGGGCTCACGTTAGATTAACCTAATATGTTCAAAAGCAATTGTAGCTTTTCTAAACAAATACGATGCTTCGTGCATGGAATTAAACTTTATAGTCGATTCAGACACCGCCCCAGTACACATCCTAGTAGCCGGCTCAAGAGGTTTGGGTGAAATTTAGTTGGGTTATAACTAAGGTTAAAAACCTCTTATGCTACTTCAATTTAGTATGTAATGGTTTCGGTCGGATCATCAATATTATAATATAGTCATGCGCTTATTAATGCTCTAGAAGCAGAACTTTCTTCCAGATGTGCCTTACAATTCTGAAGCGTTTGATTCCATTTATTTAACCGTATCCGTACCCTTAGTAAGTTTTTTTTACAATTGTAAAAATAGAGTTACATACTGTTGTCGATTACAGAAATAAGTTCATATTTGTTTTTTTTTGTAATTGTCAAAGATAATTTTTGTAATTCGTGAATCTTCATACCGAACTTATACACTCAAGCAAATAGGGTTTCTTAGATGTACTTCTGCAATTATATGTAAATATACCTCGAAAATCTAAAAAACAATATAAAATAGTATAACAATCTCGGTAATAGTTTTCATATGCTTGACCACGTCTAGCTGCATGTGCTTGTAAAAACGTTACCCTTGAATTTACAAAAAAAAACGCCAAATGAAGAATGTTACAATTATTTAAAGAAGTGTTCATAACGTCTCCCGTTTGGATCAATAAAAGGGTACTTGATTATGGCATTAGCAGGCTTGGTTTATAATATCGATTCAGTTCATCTAATAACTCTACTGCTAGCTCTAAGGGGGAGAGTGCTCTCAGAAAATGTCTCACGGTGACTATTTGCGTCACGGTCCAGCGATGTATTCAATAAGCCGAAGAGCTTCTTGTTTTCCAGTTTATTATTGTACAATTGATGTCCATCAATGTTTTATTGTATGTTACGCAGACAAGAATACCACTAACAAACTACCTACGCATAGGTAACAGGTGTAATTTATAGGCTAAATGAATCAATCTACTGGTCAGACCCTTTGTTTAATGGAATCTCATATTGCATCACGTCAGTCCAATTATAATTCTTTATTCATATAATATTATGAAGATCGAACTGTAATATAGTGAGCTGTTTGAAAGTCTTTATAGGTTTTGTATACGAACATAATCATATGCAGGCAAAACCGGTTAAGCTGTGGATTTATTTTTTGGGTGATTTTTAGATTAACGGGTATATGTACATACATACACACAAACTTTATCCTAGACCATGCCTTACGACAGGCAAGCTCGGAAACGAGGTTATTGTAGCAAAAAGTTTTACGTTAAAGACAGACTGTTTCAAATGTTTTTTGCTTTTATATTAAAAATACGTGATAGCTGAGATAGCGTACTCGATTAAGGGAAGGAAAGACAACGTAGACATCTTTAAGAAAATACTATGAAGCCTTCTTACAAAAGACAGTAACTATTATCACTGGTTTCGAATAAATTTACTCAGATAATAGTAAGATAAAGTCCTATAAAAGAGTATTTCTTCTAGACTAAAAAGTTTTTCTGTTAGTGATAAGTTATCAATGAATCAATACGTATAAAAAGTATGGTTACAAATCAATACGGCCATTAAGTTTTGGGATAAAATGTTTATTAACATATTTATTTGTATGCGCATTTTTTTGCTGTTGTGTATAATGTATGCATACAGTCGTGTGCAGCTAAAACTTTATATTTTCATAGCAGATTTGCTGGTTACCGTCTGTAAGTGGCCGGTTGGCGGCTATCGACAATTGATACACATACAATTTACGAGACGGCGGTAGCATCTACTTCGTGCGATTCGCAGTAAACTACACAGGAGAAGACACTGTTTGCTAACCTGTTCGTAGCTTTTATCGTTATCTTACCCGCACACAGTTCTCGTATTGCATAGTTTTTCCAATATGTAGATTTGCCATATTTGAATTGCAGTGTATCTTTTATTTTCAAAGTACCGCCACAAATGTACCATTTTGCGAAACAGCTTAAATGCAATAAAAACAATCCGCCGTAGAAATAGTGAAATAGGCGGAGAGACGAAATTCGTATGTAAAAATACAACATTGAAATCACCGGGCCATTGGACGCCGCTTGTCGTTACAATGTATAATGATAATGGAAGAAATAAGCAGCCTAGGTACAGCAGAGTCCTTGGCCAAATTGTATTACGACAATAAATTTTTTTCGAGTATACATTTTATATATTTGGATGTACTTTTACATCTCTGAACTGATTTCATGAAAACAGCTTAAACCATGTTGATAACCAAGATACCGAACGTGGACCTGTAACCTGCTGAAGAAAATACATAACAATTCAGAGGAAAAGCACAATAACGGTGAGTGTGAAGTTCAGTTTGTCGTTAATTATATGCGTTTTTATAGTATATAACGTTCGTTCTTTCCTTCATCTTTACTTGAAGCAATGTTGATGAAATGCTGAACATAATACTATAGCTGTGTATACGAAGTCTGTGCAAATAAACAAAATTGCAAAAGATACCATGAGTGTGAACAATGTGATATCATTTGAACATGATACCATAATTAGACATTTCTTGATGGAGTCATCAAAAGTCATCACTTGATTACATTATCGTTGCAACTGATGTTGACCACTCTCCAGCAAAAGGTGCCTGCAGCTCAAGCGTCCACTATCGCGGACGGGCCCAGTGTGCGCCTTGTAGTTAAAGTAATTCAGAATAATAATAATATCCCTCCATTTCTCACCTTTCCAAGCTGTGGTATTGCAATCACGCACTGATGGATAGTTACACCACCATTCACTCATCCATAATCGTAATTTAATTCGTTTTAACTTAATGATCATCAACCAGCACTTCTTTTCCCATTCGATGGTTTTTTTTATTTTTCGCACGATTTTTCTTTTTTGTTCTATCACTCCATCAGTAATTTATATTTAGCAAATATTTGGACCTAGATTCCGGACGAAGTACAAATAACTGGTAGGTAATCCTTCAACTAGTGCATGTAATATTTTATTAATCGCTTGAGACCTATTACACAACGGAATAACAGAATTTCTGGAGCACGGTCGGTGCAAATGCACTTAGCACCAGTCATAAAAGAATACATAAATGTGCGTTGCACAAACGCTGTTGAATAGAATATAGCACACGTAAGGCGGAAAACATACACATCGTACACTTATGTAAACATTAAATAGCGCAAATCATAGAACAATCATACCTGTAAAACATACAAGATCAAGCAGTGACAAGACACCCCTTTGTGCTTTTTAGTGCCTCTAATTAAAGAAGAACTCGACTCGCTTTCTATAAATCACTGGTGTACCAGTTGGGATTAAGGGAGTCTGAATTTATCGGCGATGGATTTGCAGCGTGGTCGTAATTGGGATCTAAATCCATTCCTTCGTTATGATGTCCCGCTTGGAAGTTATTTAATGGAGTATGAGCGGCGTGCGGTGTCGCCACAGGGGAACTCGAAATGTCCAAAGTCTGCATAGAGTTAATGGCTATTTGTGTGTCGACTGGATAACCTGTACAATCAAAGCAACAAACAGCAACCATCATTAAAAAATTAACACACTGACCTACGTATATTAGTTACATGCGAGAGTTTGACACAAGTCAATTTTCACGATGAGACCCCTCCTGTTCATACCAAATCGTGAAGTGTTTTGTGGTACCAGCCCACTGAATTACACAGTCTGCAGGACAAAAGAAGATATGTCACCATAATAACTAAGGATCACGTGACTGACATGTGTATCACAACTGAAATAAAAGCTATGCATTTCCCGCCGTAAACCTATTGCATGTCTTTGCCATTATTCTTTGTTGTCCAATAATGGACGCTGTTCTCATAATGTATACCGCGCTTATTGAGGTACTAATAATAACTGATAATACAGGAGCATTTCAGAAGAATTACAATCCTTTTCTAATTACCCAGATGCAAAAACGCACAAGGCAGTTGGATCCAACATACTACTTCATAAAAACTGTTATAAAATAGTATCTGACAAGTAAGGTTTATTAATTTTATTTTTGATTTATAAGCAATTAAACTGATAAACCGATTTGCAAAATCTACTAATGATTTTTAGCGATACGCATTTTAGAAGCTCACTATCTTGTCTAAGTGCCTAAATATTTTAGCTTTACACCCTCATAGCTTCTTACCTCTCAGAAGCGCTCCTCGCAGCATTGCAAACATTCATAAAAATATTAGTTTTTTTTGTCTAATGTGTTCAGTTAGGTTAGTCATGCAATTGCGAGCGTGTACAATACGAGAACATTGGACTGCCTGCCATTCGCATTTCTTCATTCGAGAAGCGTTCAGTAGCAAACAGTTCCTTTCCTTCGTGGACTTTTTCCGGAATTCGTAGATGTGAGTTGACTGTAGCACGGTTACATGTATGCACACTCACACATATACAAAAAAGTTCTTTTGTTTCCTTCTTCCTCACGCTGCCTCGTTGTCAGTGGTTATTATAATAATAATTATCGTCTTCTTTGACATCCGCTACATACCTATCGTAAAATTCAGCATTTCTTAGTCTCAAGTAATTGACACTTATTAATCGCTTCCCACATCTTGGCCACGCGTTTTAACTCTGCTAGTTTCGCCGCTTAATCGCTCGCCAAGATCGTTTTTCATGTCTTATTGTGTGTGTGTATGTGTTATCCCTTGACTCTATCTTTAATCCTCCCCTTTTGCAATATAAACTGTGCTACTCGCACTTCTCATTGTTTTGATCGTGTTATTACTAATTCCTATTTAGCGAGCGATTCGTACTGTTCTCTGGAATAAGGAATTATATTTACCCCTTTTTTATGTACTTCACCGTCTTTTCACTCACTGTACCGGACAGAGGTGTCTATTTGCGTTTGTAGAAGATCTCTTACACTAGGGAATACCATATAGACAGAGATTGAGTTTTAGTTGGCTCGATTGATCCTTGTAATGCTCGCTTTATATTATAATAACCCTGAGAGTTAGCCCGGTAACGTGTAACTTGCATGCCTTTTTCTACATTTTTGGTCAAACCTTTCTTTCTTGCATTCCATTCTTTATTGTCTATTATTTTGGACAACCTGGACAATCGTACCTGTATCGATGTAAAAATGATAACTTCTTGTAAGAAGATCTGTATTTCTCATTGCGAAAAAATTAATGGTGCCGTTGGTTTTGGGAACGTGTGTATGTCGCACAAGAGTGTGAGGTGCCTGTGCAATGTACTACGATGGTGACATCTCTTATTTCTTTTACCTTTTCATCATTTTTCTATATCATTTACGTAATCAATTTATTCAACCCATATTTTTAGTTTTCCAGAAACGCAGATAATGCGTACGTCTGATCCACTTTCACTGAAAGAGACTTGATTTGTCTCCAGCCTATATATATATATAATATCTTATCTCTATATGGTATATCTCGCCGTTACCTTCACCCATAGACTTAAAGAACGTTTGTTCTACAATTATAATCATGTTATCTATAAATATTTCTGAATGTGGAGTCAATGGGCACGCCCGAAAAAATAAGATTGCGCGGTAAACCTGACATCGATGACTTGAATTCAATTAGATTGCTATATTACCGGAAAATAAACTTGAGGTAACACACATATACTCACATATACACTCGTCGTTCATCCACAGGTTATTTAGCCTTTTTCAGATATGATTATTATTATTACATTGTCTATTAAATATTGGCAATAGAATAATAATTCTTATATATTATAATTGGTATATTGTTGACACGATATGAATATCTAGTCTCTCGTCATACTCTTTCATTTAGCATTTCAGTTATTCGTCTACCATCGATACTTAAGCAGCCGAAGCAACGAGATGAATAATTTTTATTCTTCTTACTGCTTTTTATTGAGTTAGATATTACTCCATCCTTCGGTGTAAATTATCTTCCCGGAGACCCCCAGGTCTTGAAAGCAAAGCTACTTTTAATCTTATTCGTATTGAGTAAATATATGCCAGGATCAACTTCAGCACTATACTGGGTACTTCAGCGGATTTGGCGTGCTCCTTAACTGAATTTTTTAGTTCTCCACTTGCTATTCGTTCCCCACAGGGCTTACAGCTGTTTCGTGATGGAGAGAATACGAAAGTAACTTAAAACCTGTTTGAATAGTATCGTCTTATTAGGAATGTTTTTATCGAAGAAAAGTAAACGCTGCATTATATTTTTATTGTTTGTTAAACTTTTTGAATGATCAACGCTTGACTCATTCAAATGTATTTAGTTGCTAAATATAGCTCTATTAGCTTCTGTCCGTCATAAACCATAACTAAAAATAAATGATTTCATTTTGAGTACGTATTAATTGAATCCAGCTAGTCAGCTTTGTAACTTCTGAAGTTTTGTTTTGCTAAATCGACTATAAGACGATAACGTCCGATCTAAAATTCAGAAGCGTGATTAAATGAATTAGAGATTATTACTCAAAACAAAAGCCTCACCCTGAGCAGCATAATTATTGTTGTTGTTATTGTTGGTTTGCTGCTGGCCGGGGTTTCTGGGTCCTCCTGGAGCGGTATGAGGGGGCGCAGGATACATTCCGGAGGGATTATACGCGTCAGGATCGAATCCCATGTCCATAGGATCGACATGCGGTGGCTGAGGTGTACCGTGCTCACCTGGCCGCATCAGACCCGCAGTGAGTTCCATGGAAAGTCTCTTTTTATAGTCCTGAGATTTGTCATCTGACATACGGAACAAAATTGCTGCTGCATATGTCGCTGAAATAGAAAGGTCAAGAAACACTGTCAGGTGCTATATTCTATATATTTACACGTCACGTTACTATAATTACATCCGGCACGTTGATATATACATACGGTTTACTGGTTACTTGAAAAATTTATATGTAGTCTACATACTGAAAGAAGGAAAGTGAAATTAATATGCAGAATGAATCCCAATTGACGTGCAAAAATGCTCAGACAGAACTGGATATGGAAATTGCGGACAGAAAGTAAGGGCCAACTGACCTAATATTAACGAACTACCAGTATGAAAAAATTTAAAAACTAAGCTCACCAACTGCTTCATTTCCGGAACGCAATAGTTCAGTGAGCGGTCCTGTTGCTCCATCAGCTTCTATCTGGTCAGCGCCTTCACGATCTGCTGCCAGTTCAGAGAGTACACTGACCGCAACACGTTGCACGTTTTCGACATCCGAATAGAGGAGTTGCACGAATACAGGAATTACATGCAGTGACCGGATAAGTGGACGATTGCTGGGATCCTTGGAAAAGATGTGCATAGCCCCCACAGTACCTTCGACTACTTCTTCCATGCTGACTCCGTCGCAGAGGGGCGCCGGTCCTCCGTTTGCATGACTCGCGGTCATATCGCCGAATGCCTTGTGCAAAATCTGGCTAAGACGTTGTATTGCCCCATCCTCACGCAAAGGCGCGTTATTATCAGGGCATAAAGCCAGATTACGTATCAGTCCGATCACTGCCTTTACAAGTGGCCACCGTGCAGGTGGATGCAGTAACTTGACAAATACTTGAAGTCCGTACGTTCGTCGAATTGCTTGTTGGGCAAGTTCGGCCTCAGGGTGACGGCATGTCAAGTGGCGCAGTGCACACACTGCTGGTTCTGTGATTTCTTCGCGATCGCCTGCCTGAATGACCGTTCGTACAAGGGCTTCGCAACCTTGCACGCGGCATACAATTGATTTATTACGCTGGTTATTGCATGTCAAATTAGAAAGAATACCAGCAGCGCATGTTACTACGTTCATGTCAGGCGAAGCTAGTAGCTCGACCAGGTTGTGAAGCAGTTGTTCCAGATTGTCCTAAAAATCAATCAACAATAAAAGAAGGCCGTATGAAGCATATCATAAACACTCAGACGCAAGGTACAGTAACAATATTATAAAATGTCAAGCTTCGTAACTTACATCACATAAATCGATAATTTGCATCCTCATAACCCACTATACGGCTCAACCCGAAGGGAGCCAGAACGGAGGGTCCCTTGTTATCGGCACAAGTATATGATACTTACTGCATGCGCAAGGATAGATCTAATCATAGGAAGCAATAACTTATATTTTTAAAGACCTTTTAAACCACTGTCTAATAGCCTACATCTTTCGATAACTCCTATCTCGGTCGGCTAAATCGTATTACCCTTCCTTTTAAAACCTCGATACCTGACGAATGGCGGCGTCAGAAAGATTGCGAAGTGTCCAGAGACAGTTGAGGACCAGGCGCTGCGAACCGTGGTTCAGATGCTGAGCCAACGCCTGCACTCCACCGGCCTCCACGATTGCCGGTTTGTTCGAGCAGCACACGGATAGCACCTGTCATACACAAGAAATACATTAAAAACCTTACTTTAATCTAAAACAAATCAATGTAATAACGCATAGATGTAGGATGAGAACATAAAGAATTGGACATAAGAAGCAGCACGGACAGCATAAATAGATGAGTATGTATACTGCGTAGTCAAACCTTGAGCACTCGCGTAGTGGTCCACAGCAGTTTCTCGTAGGTATAACATCGTAAGATCCTGACGAGCTCCGTTGGCCCTCCAGATGCGAGGATGACCAACTTCGATTCTTGGTTGCCGTAAGCGAGGATCTGTAGACAATCCGTGACAACCGCGAGGAATTTGACATTGTTCCTTTGAAGCAGTGATACCATTTTTTGGAGTCCTCCTGCTAGCCGGACTGCCATTTTACTGCCATCTTGGTGTAATAGCAGATTGTGGAGGGTCGTGATAGCGTAAAAAAGCACACTTTCCACGGGTGACGAGAGCAGTTTGACGAGCGCGGGAATACCGCCAGATTTAAAAATGGCCAATAAACCTTGCCGATGTTGCGAGAGGTTTTGTAGGGTGCCGGCAGCGCTGCGCGTCGTGTCCAGGTCATTCGAAGTAGCCATGGCCTTTACGAGGGCCGCCACCATTTGCGGGGAGTTCATGATGGCGTGCCGAGAAGCCTCCTTCTTCGAAAGCTGGTGAACCATAACCGCTGCTTGCCCGACAACTACTTGATCCTCGTCGTTCAGCAGCTTTATTAGCTCTGGAATGGCCCGCGTCGCAAGGTCAGCATCGTCCTGGTAATTAATTAAGTTGACTACGGCATGACGTAGCATTTGTGAAGGTTCTGATAGTCGTTGAACAGCAGTTGGCTGGCTTGGATCGTATTGGGTGCTGGGTATATCCATTCCCTCGTCGAGGGTCTCGGGAAACATGGCAGCGCGAACGCGCTGTGATCTCGTTTGACTCAGCTGAGCACCGACTTCATCGACGCTACTGTTGGTCTGATCTCCCGTATTTGGAGCTCCGCCATAATTACTACTAATGGCTCCGGTCGAGCTCTGGTCACCCCAATCGTAGATCATTCCGTCTTCTGCACCACCAGCCACTGAAAGAGGCCCTGCACTCTGGATACCTGAGTCGGTTCCCGAACCAGTGTTGCCGTGAGCCAGGTACGAATTCTGCTGCCACATTACCGTCTGCTGCTCTCGCGATACTTCCGACTGCACCACGGAACCCACTCCGCTGCCCTTCCCTCCGTAGACTGATCAGACAGAGCCAAACAAAGAAAGAGAGAGAGAGAGAGAAGACGGAAAAGTTTCAATAATTAAATCACCATTAAACAAAACATTAACAAATATGGATTGTTCTATTCATCTATTATAGATTTTTACCTAATTACCGATAGCTGATTCCTCGTCATGTCTGTATTAAATATTCGAGACAAACATTTTTTTATATTTTGAAACATTAATATTTAAGCTAAATGCGCGCCATTCTATTTGATGACCCTCTTCCATTTTTTTAGTAACACCATAATTCTATCACTGTAGAACTCTGATCTTGAAGGATAAATTGTGACAACCGATTTTTGCATCCTCCATTGAAACTAAGTTGACACTATTTAAAAGTTCTTCAAAGACGAAAACAGATAGTAGTCTGATGCCGCAAGATTCGAGCTACACGGTGGACGCATTAATATTTCCATCTAAATTCTCTATGAAGTAGCTAAAATGTATATTCATAGTGTAAAACGATGTCTTTTCTGTTTACTAGTTTGTCTGTTTTTTTTTTGATTGTTTGTTGTAATCGTGTTAATTCTATAGGTTTGAAACAATCAGTTTGCCAGGCGAGAGCATTTCGTAATGCACAACTGCTTTCCGATCTCATCGATCACATAGTATCACCTTTGGCCTTAGCCCTGGTTGCCACAAAATGCGGGGAACATTTTTAGTATATTGCTGTTGTTCGTAGTCCACCTTTCATTTCCAGCAATCATACATTTTAGAAAAGGCTCGATTTCGTTGTTCTACAAAGTTTTGCAGACAATAGTAATACAATCTGGTACATTCTTTTGCGTCAGTTAATATGGAATCCAAACTTCGTGCTTCAAACCGGCTTCTTCAGATGGTTTAAAACTGTTTGGTTATAAAATATAGATTCTTGGCGAGGTCATGGCTTTGCTTAACCTTCGCAATATTTCATCATTTTCCTTCGTAAAGGCTCGATCACTACGAGACATATCTTTTGGATCCACATTTTCAGGAGGGAAATGACTGAACTACCTTTGAGCTGTTTCTTTCGGTAACACATTTTAATCCACAAATTTTTGTGTCTAGGCAGTATTTGTACCTTTATCCTAGTATAATGTAAAGTATAGCGAATTTTCACAGAAATTTTACTTATTTTTCTTACATCTCAACAAAGGTACTCCAACGATTTAGCATGTCACTACTGTCAAATCCCAATTTTCAAACGACGTCAATGCCGACCCGGCGCGACTCATTACTTGAGATATGCGACTTTAAAGTCATCTGGTTAAACAAACCTCCAACATCTTTTTGGCTACCTATACATATATATGCTCCATCGTTGTGCTCGTTGAGGAAACCAGATTATGATGTACGTTACAGTAGCATTTCTTGAATAGTTTTTCCTTCTTTTGCCCCCTTGATAGAGTAAACAAAGTCCTTTTTTAAATGTTTTTATGACAAAAGCAACGATTCATATTATTCAGTTAGTCTATACTGTTCGTTTGTCCTTATTCAGCAGTTTTTTTTTTAGTTTGATGCACCGATTTCTACCGTTAGACTCCTATCATTTCACATACAAGCAGTTATTCTATGTACATTATTTTAAAATAGGTGTACTCACGGTTGATCGTCTGTTGTTGAGCTTGGCGTTGTTGGTTGCCTGTGGCTGTGGGTTGTGGAGCCTGCGGCTGTAGCTGAGCGTAACTCATTGTGGATCTGCAAGTATACGGCACCTGTATGGAAAGCACCACAAAATAAACTCGGTACGTGACGAAGGACACGGCCGAACTACAACCCGCAGCCACGCAAGCGGGCGAATATGACGAGAGACAAGAGATCCAATCTGGAATGAACAAATTTCTAGTGAGAATCATCTACGTTAATTACATAAACTATCAATCTATCAATTGTAAAAGGCACAGTAGGAATGATAGTAATCGTTGCAATCTATCACTATTGGATAATCAATCAATTAATGGATGTGCTGAAGATGCTTCTTGCTATAAAAACCTACGTGCAGCGAATAGTTTGTGCAAAGATCAATCGGTTCAATATGACCTATCATGATCAAATGCAAAATTACTGATGTATGATATATTATTACTAATAATAGCTAGCACTCGTTGCCACATTGTCGACATACATTTCTGAGTCTATGTGCTTAATATTGCTCCATTCGTTTTAACTGTACAAAAAACAACACTGCGTTCTGTTTCATGTTCACTGCGTTCAAACATGTTTCAATTTCGATTTGGTTTACTTTTATTAGATTAGAAGATTTTATTAGGTTAGAAGATGAACATTTTTGATAATCTTTGACGGAAATATGTTCACAATGTACAACACCATGCACAATTGAAATAGATTAGTTGTGTATATGTAGCAATTTCCTTTTCTGAACTGGTTGGACGCATGCTTGGCAGCTATTAATGCGGTTTTAAATTTTTTTAATGCAATCCTTGTCCTATGAATAACAAAGCATATATATATATATATATAGTATAACAAATTATTTTACATTGTTTTTATGTTGGTTCAAATTAGTCCGACGCTATTTTAAGCTCGAGTTATCTGACGACGTTCGCAATTAAACTTCTTAGTTCAACCATTATTGACTCTTCATACAACCCCCGATCGAATCAACTTCTCCTTTTTGGTATACATGAAATACTTTTCAATCCATATCGACTGTCTGTCCGTGATCCCCAACAATGCCAAAAATACAAACTTGCTAATTCTGTAAAGGCAAGAGACTTTACTTCCTTGAATGAACGTTTATTTCTACAATCGTCCTTAAATAAAAATAAAATGTATGAAGTCTCATTTAACGTATAAATAAAATGACATGCGTCAGATTTCTTTCATCCAAGGCCGCCTGAGTACAAATCACATAACTACTTACTAATGTTAGAGGATATAGACCGCTAGCGTCTCGCTTGATACCCATATAAGTTCTTCTAAAAGAAATGATGCTCAGAAGAAATAGTACACCAATGAATGCTACAGCTGCTGTGCTTCGTTTAAATCATAAGAAGGTTCTCACAGAAGTTCATGAAGGCATGTCCGAGTACCTTGTGTTTACGTGTATGAGAACAGAAACTAAACTACAAAATTGTCATTTAATTCAAAATCTCAAACTCCAACGCAACTGAATTTATCAGTTACTGATTTAAACCGAAGCTACCATAAAGTTTTAATTAAAAAATGTTTTGAACACTAAAGCAAAGGCTAAAAAAGCCAGAATTCGTGCATAAATAAAAAATGCAGTGCACATTTTTATTAATAGAAAACTGTGGACAGCCAGTTCTATTAGATACAAGCGGAGGAAACTTTAGCCAATCAAAATCCTTTCATTATTGTTGATAGCTTCAGGATCCTAATTTGTATGACAATTTTTTACTAGAATTTGAAAATGCCGACGCTGTGTCGACAGATTTTCATAGCAGCAACTAGCAACTATAAAAAATCCTACGAAATTCTGCATCTGCCGAGTGCATTGGCATCATTTGAGTACTTCTTTAGAATGAACGAATTCTAATAAGCCAACTAGTAATTATTTATAGATAAATTTGAGTACATTCGTCTACAAAAACATAAAGGAAGAAGTTTTGCAACTTTCAAGTGCCTAGCGTAGCGATTTAACAACACAGACGGGGTACTATGAAGCAGAAGCACAATAAAAGTCATTCTAATTGTCACGCGGGACTATAACACCGTGAACCACTGTTGCCGTCTATTGTTACTTGAGAACTAGGGTCGCTGTTACCACCGTAGCTGTAGTGGCTGATATTAACTGAGAAAGAAGTATCAGGTCACTCAATTCACCACTACTTGCTTAGTTAGATAATAACGCATTACAAGGCCTGTTGCTTAAACGCGCACACATACACACACAACCAAAGCATCAAATCATGGGCTTCCCAAGACGACTATCGTCGTAAAAGATAAAAAGTTTTACCCTACTGCAGCGGCAACTACCGAATAGCTTTTTGTCGTACTAACAAATCATTTCAAGGTACTATATCTTTAGTAAAAGCCGGTTAGACTTGAACTTCATACGTCGGAGGCAAATTAAACAAAAATAACTTATTAGTAATAAGCCTTTGCAATAATCTATCTATCTATCGGGATTGCAAGACAAGAGAGGTCGACATAAATTCTTATACACCACAACCAAACACAAGCCACCTTTAAATTAGTCGAGACTCTATTTTGCTATTTGAGTTACTACTGAATAGGTTGCGAATCATAACATCGCTCAGTTTCCGCAGACATCATAAGCTCTGCAGTATCAAGATTCCTGCTCACACATGTGTTATTCGTTCAATACGGTGCCCAGCAAATACAGATATTCATAACCAGGTTGCTTTTTTGCATAACAATTCATAAAGCATAGCTACTAGGCCTACGGGGTGTGAAAGAAAGTAGCCTAAATTGTCATAAGTTTACCATAGAATGCTTTTGGTGCAACGATAGCTGTATCACATGGAATAATGCAAATCATCTAGTTCTACTTACAGTACAACGTTAGGATGTTCGGAGCCGCTCGGGTCGCAGAAATTCTGCGGGTTTAGCTGAGCCCCAAACTACTCGGTTCCTGCTGGGTGCTCGCGTTGAACTGCTGTCGGCAAACATCAAAGGAATTATAAACAACAGCTGACGTCACAGCGTGGGCCGGGCTGCTGCGCCACGACGAAGAATGAGTTCGAAAAAATGGCGCTGGAGCGGTGTACAAGCTCTGCGAGCAAGGCTTCAAGTTTCGAGATTATGCCATTATGAAGAGACAAACAAAACTTCGAAAATGCAAATTGAATTTTATTTAATTTAACGGAAAATTTTATTTATTTGTTAATACCACTTATCAGATTTAGCAGCAGGAACAAGGCTGCCCTCATCCAGAGTTTATTTACAAATAAAAGAAAGAAGTTCATCTGTGAAATTTCTTTGAAATTAGTGTGAGCCGAAATATACTTTGATGTGGGGCTCCATCTTAGCAACACAGAAAGTTGCGAATGCACAGAAGCTCTTCAATATAAAACCAGTTGTAACCTACGAAGACTGCTTACAAAAACTGAGGTGACTTTTCACTACATTAAAATGTATATCATGGCTACCGTATGGTAGGACAGTTTTGTTGATTTACGCTTATCATATGTTTCAGAACAGAGATAATAATTACAAGCGAAACCAAGAGTTTTCTGAATATGTAAGTGGTGGCATTACATATAAAATACGACTGATATTCGCGTATGCAACTTTTAACAAAGTTAACATAAACTTAACAGTTTATGTTCCTGAATGATGAAACAAGGCTGTCATCGCTTAGTACACATGTGTTTAACCAGATGTTTACGCACAATGGTTAAGGCTCGGATAAAACTAACTAGTTAACTTTTGCACAATTGCTTATATAAACCGAATTGGCCCTGTTAAAGTAGCTAGCCGCAGTAAGCTGTGACTATCATAACTGTATAGGTTTTATTTATAAAAAGCTGCGAAGTCTACCCTGGCGTTTTAGTTGGCTCTGAAAAAAGTATAAAGAAGAAAAGTATAATGGATGCGTGATGTTACTACCTAAGCAGGATACGAATGGTTTCACTTATTGCTGCTAACATCTATCACGTTGCCGTGCTGAGGAAACGCGACGGATTTTAGCAATTATTCCATTATTTGTACATTATTTCTAACGCGTATATACGTCGAACGATACATATATACAGTCGTACACAGTGATATCTTGCTAGGACTGTCTGTAATCTTCGTCTCAATATGTATACAGTGTAATTTACAAACTAATGAAAGGACAGGTTAATAATAAAATCAACCCCAAGACATTCGAGGTTACACGGAAAAACAAATGTAATGTACAACATAACTCATTCGAGTAGTTTTTAGTTAGAGGCAGTTGTACTGCATTCATCAGTTAGCAGTAAGTTGAGAAAAGCACGTATATTTTGTTTAGAGACAATTTTGACAGAAGTAAAGTATGTAGCTCATGGGGATTTATAGGACGTCACAACCAGACCTCAGTGTCGGACGCTAATAGGTATTTATAACTTACATCTAATCTGAGAACAAATTATACCGACCTAGGTTGTTAGTGTTTCGTGCATATGTAGCTTTAAGTTATTCGTGTTTCACGTACTTAAGCCGCTAGGCAATACTTCAAACAGCTAGCTCCCAGCACGGAACGAAGTGTGCCCAGTCCGAATTCAAGTCTGGACCACTATGTCTCTAAATTTAGTAAGCAAACTCGTTACCAATTGCGCTATCACGGGATGTATGCAGTGCTGGCTGCATGTCACTCCTAGTGAAGATGACAGGCAAACTCAGTCGGATCGACGCGTTTTTCTTTGTAAATTCGTACAGGCTATTACAGGTAGGCATCATATTCCCATACCATTAAATTACATTTATGCTCCACGTTGCACCCCCATTCGATCACCATCTTAGTACACAGTCATTAAAATATGGAAAAATTATGGTGCATCGCATCACGAGCGATACTTTTTTCTCTGCTATAACCTTTAAGAGATTGATAATTAGTAAATTATTATTATTATTAAATAATTGTGAATTAAAGACGGCATTTGTCTCATTTAATTTATATTGAGTGCATGTATTAATTGTTGTTTATATTTATTTTATATGCAGCTATTTATGCATTAAACCATTGCGAAGTCTAATCGAACATGGGCGCATTTTGTAATCACTCCCGTTACCATCGAAAAGAAAAACACTGTTCAATAAATTTCTCAATAGACTCTTGATAACGTCGTCTTTGATGATTCAAATGTACCCTGATCTCAAGGGCCACGATCCGTTGGTAAACTCAAAATCTTAAGGTGTGGTTCCTCTTATCTTTTCCAAAATAAGTTCAGTCTTAATTCATTAAGTTTTTAGCAACTGGCAAAGCCATAACCTTATTCATTGTAGGTGAAGGTAATCTTTTTGTGTATTATGACGGCAGGACGGCAGTTAGTATTTATAACCATATAAAAATTCAGTCCAATAGGGTTCTTGAATTTCGTTGAGGTCTGTTATTAATTGTTTGATGCTCATCATAGCTCTTATGTCTTTACTACTCTGAACTGCACGCGGCGGTCTTTGTTCAAGATGAGCTCTCTCTTATCCGAACTTATTACATCTATACTCTTCAAAAGAATATTTCATTAACTACTTCGAATTTCCCGCGGAAATCCCGAGCTTGTGCAGTATTTAGTAGCTTTTTGGGTAGAATCCTAATGTTTTCGATGCTGGAAGGAGAGCGAGAGCTTGCTGATTCATTGAGGGTTATGCAATACCCGGTTTACCGGCAACCATACTATGTGGCCACGCTGTTCCAACACAACATTCAGCATTAGAGACACCATCGTTCTATTTGGCTGCAAAACTCCTTTTACCGCGACGGCTTATGCACCAAATCGCTTGGCCGATATCGAAGTTTGTTGACCAGAAAACGGTTATAGTAACTAAAAGTTTCCTGTTATTTTGAACCAAGGAGCCAAGAACTCTCCAAAGAATCCGCAAGCTCCGTGACAAAATGCAAAAGACCATAGGCCATACCGGCAATTATTTCGTGGATAAGGTGTCGACGCCGTTGTTGGAAAATAAGGATGAACATGGATCAAAAATGCTTTGGATTACCTAAGCAACTGTATTTAAAGATGCGTGTCTACCTAATAGAATAATGAGTTCCTGCGGACTTTTCGTTTATACATGATGAAACAGTTCGTCTTATCTAGAGTTCTCATATATCAGAGAATGATAAGTTTTGAGCGCTTTACAAGATGCTTGTGCATATTTTAAAACGATGCTAAATAAGCGTCGATGAAATCTAGTCAGTATTTTAAATTCTGACAAGATTTGTCTCTTAAAGAAATTAAATTGAATGAAAAATTATTTGATAAGAACGTAATTTTTCTACGGATGTCATTGATCGAAGTCCTACAACGCTGTTTGTTACGTCAATATCCTTTTGTGAGTTCGCAGAAGACGCCACAGAGCTGCATTAACGTATTGTCATTTGAAACCTCCGTGTTAAAGGAATATTCTTGACATTAAAAAGCAAGCACAAAATTATCTTTATTGTCACGCCATATACAAAAGCTCTCTTTCAGCTCATTTTAATACTCAAAACATGATAATATTTTGGCAGCATTTGTAAATGTTCCACCCATCCGTCTAGGACTGGCCGCATTTCACCTAGTCTTTTTTACTTCTGGTTTTTAAAACTTGTGCTTCTTGCAGGAATATCTCATTCATGAAGAGCTTCCTGGAGCTTGCCATTCGACTTGCGTGGTTTCAGAGGGGTTTACACCCATTGTGTTTAGACTGCTAGCCGTACACCAAACATTCTCTGTAGCACTCAAGACACTAGTTGCAGCTGTTTGAGCTAGCGTCGTATCGTCGAGTCCGCCTCCAAATGGCGATTCGTCAACGAACTCAATTATTCCAGGAGAGATCTGTGGCGGTATGGGATGGTAACACGGGCTTGGAGCCGCACCTCGAAGCATGCATGCCTTCGCTGCCAGCACTCCCTGTTGGCAAAGGATCAAAACCAAGAGAACATAAGCTACATTTTTTTTATATTTCGGGAAAGAAAACAACAGTCATAAGTTAGGTATATTTGGTCGAACTAATAAAAAGCTTGGCTAAATAAAGCCAGAAGGTTTCAGTGCGATTTTTAAAAGGATATATTTTTTCTTAAATTGCACCATCCTTGTACTTTTTAGAAGAAAATACTTCTTATAAATCTAAACATATTGCAAACTCAACTTCTTGTTAGCTTTGGCAAATAATTCTTTATCATTTGTGACATTTTGCAGTACAAGATTGCAATATTTTATGGACAACGAAAACTTTTATAAAGAATTAAAAAAAAAACTTTAACGTTGAGAAAGAAGCTTAAAAACACGCAGTTTATAGTATCTCATTGGGTCCTAACGTCGAACATCTAAAATATTCATATTCATATGTAAAAAATGCTCATAGTTACTTTCTACAGAAATTTATTTGTGATATATATATATATATATATATATATATATATATATATATATATATATATATATATGTATACCAAACTCTCACGAGTTTGGTGAAACAGTTAAGAAAAATACATCGAATATGTTGGCATTAATTGACGCCCAAAATTCCTCTCATTTATTTTTATTATAGTTACTCTTAAATATTCTATCTAACTATCAAAAAATAAGTTACCTTTATCCACAAAGTATTAGCTCATACAAATGATAGTCGAAAAGTGTTAAATACACCAAAATATAGAAGATGAAACCTCTCGAGTAATATTTGTACCTTGCTGCTTAACTTTTTGAAATTGATATGACAACGGTCAGTACTTTTTTTGGCACTTAGAACCAACGAAGACTTAGAACGCAAGGATGAATAGTAAAATTAAACGACGTCGATCGATAAGTAGTAGAATTTTAGGACCTTAGACATCCGACAGGCTTGAAAGGCATATATAACCTACAAAATTGTTATGCAGAACAATCGTGAACAAAATATGTCAACTTCATAAGAGAACTTGCTATCACACAGGCACTTCGTTTCAGTGTAAAATGCGAAATAGAATACAAAGCGAACATGGTTTCCTACAGATTCAATTGCAAAAAAAAAATACTAATAATGTATAGCCTGGAGTCTTATTTCTACATTTTTCCACAACCAACTCATCCATGTATTGTCGCAGATACATGTACTACTCCAAAAGGGTGATAAATTAATAAGTGATAAATATACACCTATAATAAGATAATTATGATATTCTTGAAAGATTTTAAATAAGGCGTAACTGGTAACCAAAAAGTTTTTTCATAATGATGATAATTGTCTTTAAAATAATTGTGTTGCATATAATCTGTGAACGCCATGGCTTGGATATCCAAGGTTTTTACCTTGCTCGTCCAACAGCATCTAAAAACTTATTTTCTAGCCTTCTGGTGTAGTTATAAGATAGCATTATTTTTTATGTTATTCGATCCTCATTGTTCATAGAATCTGAATAAAAGTAACCGATATTCATGCTTATCCATCAAAACTTACCATTAGGTTACTTATCCCTTTCATAGTTACTCCAACACATTTGGACCTTCAACTCTCGCCATATTCCATTACGCTTATCGATTTAAGATTTCTTGTAACACAATTTTATATAATTTACTGTTATTGTTCTATTCATTATTAGCATATTCTAATCTTGTATCCATCCAGTCTAGGCTTTGCGCATGCTCTGAAATTAAATATAGTTCATCATAGTGTAGCTATTGCCGTATCACCTGGCACGCCGTTATATGCTGTGAAATCGTCTATTAATTTGGCCCGATGGAACTTTGCAGTGGTGCAGAATGGCAACTAACACTGTCAGCGAAAAATCGTTACTTTGAAACCGAAGGAGGCATTTTATGGGCACAAATTAAAAAGCTTAAAGGCTTTGAGCGATTAGCATCAAAGCATAGAGTGATGGAGCTTTTGCTATTAAGCATGTAAGCATGTAAGGATGTAGAACGATACTCGTGCGACTTTTTTGGTAACTGACATTGTTGGAAACTAAGCATTGATTGTAGATGCAAAACTTCCGTGCCATATCGTTTGTGCCTACGAAGGCCTTATTAGCAGAATAACCTAATCTGCATATGGCCGATTTTGCTCACTAGCTTCAACTTATTTGTCCAATCACTTAACAATGCATGGCCCCGCGGAAGGCTGTAGCTCAGAAGCTGGGTTTTAAAAACTTTTCAACAAAAAAAGACAATTTCATAAGCCAAATCACAAGTATTAATGGGTTTGGTGTTTATGGGCGCACGGCTGTCAATCGCGTGCTCTTTTGACAGTGAAGATACAGTGGAGGGAGCTTCCACAACAACGTAGAAGGCTCCGCCTTTTTCAGTGAATCAAATAGCCACAGCAAGAAGCGGGTTCTGGGTCTGCCATTGTTCTCGCTTCAGGCAGCTAGGATACCACGAAATATATCACAGACACATGCAAGTGCGTAGGACTAACATTTAACCCTTGTACAATGTAAGTCTTCAGGTAGAGACTGAGTTGTCTCAATGAAATGCTCAGAAATTTCGAAAATGCATGTGAACCGAGTTTATCGATCCAATAATAACTTTCTTGATTGCCTGTTTTTTTTTCAAGTTAATTGCAAAATTAAATTAAAGGCATAATGTTAACCATGGCGAATTTTTCAATCATTGATAATAATTTCGTAGAAAGGGACAAACAATAAATCTCGGCTAGTTAAATGGGATGGAGAAAATTATATAATGCTTTACGTATTTAACGAAAAGTTTTTAATTAAAAACATGTGAGACTATGAAAGAAATCTTTTTCGAGATACAACTCATGATAGAGCATTGGGATACTAGATGGAACCTTGAAATATAGGATCTACGATTTCTTTTAAAAGCTTTAAGGGAAAAGATCAAAGGCTAATCTATCCATCAAGATCTGTCAAAAATTAAGCTTAGCGGTGTCATTAAATATGGTTAATTTGGATAACTCCATATATGCTTTAAGCACTCAACAGCCAGTTCCATTATGGCTGTAAATGCTCGGCTTCATCAGGCTGACGGAACAGTAGCCGACGGAGAGATACGTAAGGTTAGGTTTCAAGAGCCACGTATCATGATGAGGGAAAATAAGTTTACAAGACGTTAACCAGATTCCTAAATTGGAGAAAAGTATCTAACTTGTTTGGAGCGTCATCAAAAAAGGATAAGACCATTTCGGCCACTTACATTGACGTTGCGCTGAGAAAGCTAATCACTGGACCCCTTATAAAATCATTATTTTTCAAATTACTTGTTTGCCTTAAGAAGCACTCTTCTCAGAGTCTGACAAAGAAGTTAGTTCATTAGTGCTGAAATATAGGATACCGCGCCACTTCTTAAATAAACATTTACCTTTTATTATATCTTTGTTGGAAAGTTTTCGCAGCAATTTATTCACAATGAAAATTAATAAAAAAGAATATACAATTGAGAGGAGAAAAGTGTTTACAATGAAAAATTTTATAATTTAAACTATAAACTATGTTAGCAAGTACATGGGAATAGAGATCGATACGAACAGCCCTGGCTTTAAGCTCACAGACCTCCTTTGCGAAATCTTGCACAACCACCCTACTACTTACGCAAATTAATTGAAAGGAGCTAAAGAGCAAGAACGAAAAGTCAAACCATGCCCACATAGGAAGGACATGTGATTAATAACACTGACAACGCCAATATGCCGTTTTATACAAAATAACTATAAAGACTGCGTATTGGTATATAAAAAAATATGATCGATGAGACAATATAAAAAAACACCTAAAATGACAAACTTGCAGATATATCGCCTTAGTCGTCTAGTGAGTGGTTCTTACGAGCCTAGGTGCAGCTAAACATAAAACATTAAAAATTAAACATGTCAAAGCAAATTCAGATTTGGATAAGCACAGATAATATTTAGTGTATCATTTCATAATATGAAACATCATTCAAAATTATTCCAACGAGCTCTGAGTAATTTATCAATTCGCAAACAGGCACAATTAAAAATTCTTTAAACCTTACGAAGTTTCTGGTAGATTTTATAGATATTATTAGAGAAAACACTAACAAGAGCATTGACTAGGCCAGAACACCAAAATGCCAAAGAAACAAAGTCAGCAAAAATTAGCTTTTTAAACAGCAATTCAAAAGGAAAAGAAAACATGCCTTATACGAAAGAATATTGTCGTAACTTAATTTTAGTTAAACATTTCGTGGTAAGGTATTTATGTTATACATAAACAAAAAAATACCTATACTGTCGCTAGTTCGCTGTATTTTCCATTGATCAACCTAATGTCGGATAACTCAGAAGTACATAGTTTATGCCTTTGGTGGAGCAGTAGTGGAACGTCTGTTCCGGTACTGCCTAAAAAGTAGTGTAAATCACTTGAGATGTTGGTTCGTGGAAGTTTGCAGACAAACCAACGAGTGTCCGAGGACCTGTTGTTGTATGCCCAACAAACAAATGATGTAGGAATGGATTTCCAATAGACCACAACAGATAACTGCCTGCAGCATTGTGTCACCTTTTCCGGTAGCTAATTCAACATACATAATCGGGACAGTGATTGAGTTTTGGTAAGCATCGCTTTTCGAAGCAAAAGGACCATACAATCTTACACGTCCCGATTATTCTAATATCCGTTAGTGACCTCCAAGAAGCTACTGTTGGCCCTAGCTAACTGAAGCACTCGAAAACGTGGCAATTACTGTAGTGGCTAGGCCAACAACGGAGCCCGACCTGTAGCCGAGACCATCTGTGAGCTTAGAAAGTTTGCCGATAAATCCGTTTGCCTACGAATGAATGGCTCAAGCGATCTGAGCCTAGATTGAAGGTCAGGTAAAAACTGTTTTGCTGCCGAATGTGATCGAAGCATCTTAGTAGAACAGCTGGCCACGATACTCATTCGTCTTTTGTGCTTTGTTTTCATTTCAACGAGAAATTGAAATTATTTATCGCACCCGATGGTCGGTAG